GTTTTGTACTGAAGCTGCATGAACTGCAGTTCTTTCCACAGTACTCCATGACCTGTTTTGTTTTGGAATTGCATTCCACGTCATATTCTTAGTTTTCATGCCTGTTCTGGGTAAGCTGGTAGCGGTAGGGTTTAACTGACTGTTGATTTCTATACCAATCATGCTCTCATTTAAGCCTTTCCCCTACACTGTTTTAAAAAAGATATCTGAATAAGTGCGAAAGAATGGTTTTCTTGGCACCTTTTTGGTATAAGAAACATTTCCTAGTAAAAAACTCTAGGTAGGAAATCTATTCTTTCTTTTTTGCCAGTCTTCCTGGCTACTGCAGCTACATAGTTCCTATAATTTGGTTGCTTAGTTCTTCAACGGAATTTGTTATTTATTTGAAAGAGAGAATGTCAATCATGTGGCTTATTGTTTCGTTGAAATTGATGGTCTGTTAGATATGGGAGGATGAGATCTGAGGACAATGAGACAGACTTCAATCATAAACATTCATGCATGTGCGCATGTTAAACAGACAGACAGACAGACATCAAATCTCTCTTTCTATTTTTGTTTTGTTTTATGCTTGACACAAAGCCGGGTCTTGATTCCCAACCTGGTCTCTGGAAGTGGGTGTACTTAAGGACGAGAATGCCCGAACAGGAACTGTTGTCATGTCTCACATAAGTGAATGCTTAATTTTACATCAGTTCCAGGTGTAAATGTGCTGGTGGCCTCATCAATTTATCAATTGATCATATTAGGGTTCAATCTTTTAAGTTTTGACTGAGTTCGTTTATCTTGCGTTACAGGTAGATGCTTCACTCTAAATGATGCAATCAAGAGCCTTTTGCCAGAGTATTTTCCTGACAAATCCATGATCCCTGAAGAATCACCAACAGTAGGTGAGGAGGATGAACAAAAGGTTTCCTCTGAAGATGCAATCAAGAGCGATATAGGAGCCGAAGAGGAAGTAGAAAAGTCAATCGAACGCACAAAGTCTTGCAACCAATACGATGATGCTGAAATCAAACTAGTCCGTATCCAAGGTATTGAGCCGAAATTGGAGATACCTTTCTTTTGGGTGGCAAATAACTTACTGAACCCCGAGCACTTTCTTCATATCTGTGTGTATTTGAAAGTACCACAAATCAATAACATGTGATAGGTAGGTTGCATTTGGAATCATTTTCGACACGTTTAAAACACAAGGCGTAGGGAGGCATCTTCCATTGGGGACCTTGAAATGTATTTTACTGTATAGAAGTGTACAGAAAATCAACTGTCAGTATATATCTATCATTCACTTCAGGTTTTCTAGGTGTTTTTTTCTTTTTCATCTTGGCTTGTGCTTTTTTCTTTGGTATTCTCTTGCTCTCTCACGCCATCATTAATCTCCTTTAGAAAAGGTCTTAGATCAGACCATCATGAGGTCGGGCGTGACCAAAACACAGGTGGTCTTATCCTTTTGTGAGTTGCGGTCACGATGCCCCTTCACAAGTTTTTCTCCTTAAATTCAGTCAAAAACTTGCAAACACCCGAAAAAGACTTATATAATAGGGGTATATCATCACGTGGTTACGTGAGTTTCCAATCTAATAATATTCTTCACATTAAAATACATTAATGAACTTGAACCAGACGTAACGAGACGATAAACCTTTCCCATGAAAGTTGCTTTTCAAATACACAGGCTAAGGCCACCCGGTGTTTTGTAACATCTAAAGTCGACCGTTTGGCTCACATGTAATTTATGCATCATCAGAACGTTTTCTTAGTTTAATGTGACAAAGACTGGTGCCATACGAAAAATCCCGAATCATGTTGTTATTATTATTCAGACAGTGTGAATGCGAGGGTTATCGAATCTCAAGTACGTCAGTGCAACATGATATTCATGTCTTTATGTTTTTTACTTTTTCTTTGTGTGCTGATATTTTATTAAACAAACATTGAATTCAGAGAGATGCTTGGTGGTGAGGTGTTCATACACAAAAAGCAATTTCTTGTTCATGGGCTGGGACTTTTACTGAATTCTTATAAGTTTTATCAATGTGGATTTGAGAGTCAAACAACGTGTATCAAATTCCATATATAATACACCTCGTAGTACAGGGAAAGTAATCAAACCATTAAACTCATTATATAATGCTAGCAAACGTCACACACTTTGTTCGAAAAACATTTTTTTTTTATGGGAGGAGTTATTTGTTTTTAATGGCAGGCATCGACGAAAAGGGGGTTGACAGGTAAGGTCATCTCCAACCGAAATGTCCAAATAGCTGAAAATAGCTTGAAAAACGTCTCCAACCGAGGGTTAGACCAAAGGGCTCATGTGCCCCACAGAACCAAAAAAAGGCCAAAGGCCCAATCGGCTGGCCCAACCCAGCTAGCTAGCCAGCCCCAGGTCGGGCCAAAAAATCAAATGCAACAACATTAAATTTTATCTTATTTTTACAATTTAAAAAAAAAATTTTAATTCAATTTTTTTTCCTATAACTTCCTAAGTCATTAAACAACATTAAATTAAATTAAGTAACATGAAATAACATTAAACAATATTAAACAACATTAAATAACATTAAACAACACAAAAATTATACAAGATAAAAAAAATTTAAGTTGTTGTAGTTTTTAAATTTAAATAATAAAAAATTCAAACGATGTCTTAATTTTTTTCCTATAAATTTAAGTTGTTTTAGTTTTTGAATTTCAATAATAAATTATGTTTGACCATTTGGCCCTCGGTTGGAGATGACCTAAATGGGGGAGAGAGATGTGAGTTTAGGTATTGATAAGTTGCATGGCTCATAACTGTGAGGTTAAGAAGGAAAAAAAAAACAAAAATTTGATTATGCAAAATTATTTTAATGCTTATATTTTATTCTTTTTTAATATTTTCTTTCAATTATTTTATAGAGTATAATAGTAATTTTATTGATTTTTAATTGACAAAGAGGAGTTTAGATGCATGATTTTAATTGTCCAATAATGGCAGCATCCAAAACCCACTTTTCCTCATCAAAACCTCAAACAATAACGAAGAGGATCTCAATTCTCATTGCCCAACCAAAAACTAAGACATAGAGCTCTGTGTACCAGTGCGAGAAAATTTTTGATGATCCGGTACATCAAGTATCATAATACATGTTAAATTAAATTTCGCTCAGAGACCAAAAAACAAATACACTTCACTCATTGAACAATAAAAATAATCTACAAGCTAGAATAGCTACATTCTAAAAAAGCGCTTACAGACTTTGAGGATCTTGCCTCCTCCCTTGTGTTTTTTCTTGGTAGATCTTGTTGCTTGATGATCTTCATCATCTTCCTCATTGCCATCAATGGAAGATGTCAAAGCTGTAGTTGCAGACTGGTCATGGATCCTGCAATACCTCTCTGACACAGAAGAAGATCTTCTCATGGATGAGAATGCTCCTTTCAATGCTGACTGAAGCCCTAAACCTAAACCTAAACCAGTTGCTGAAGCAGAAGCAGAAGAAGAAAAAGAAGAAACTGAGCTGTTCCTCTTGTGCATAACATGAGTGCCAAACCTCTCTCCATCATTGCCCTGACAATCTTCCTCAGAAGAATCATGAGTGGTGTTGTTTTTCTTCATGTGCTGCAGATTGAGAATGGTTTCTTCTTGGATCTTTGAGGAGGTGGGGTTTTTTGGGGTAGATTTCTGGGTTTGGGAAAATGATTGGAGATCTGAGAAGTCTATGGATCTTGAGTTTCGGGAGCGACTACTACTACTTGCACCCATGATTTTGATATTCGAATATCCACCCATTTTTTTATGTTTGAAAGTGGAGCTAGCGAGAAGTGGTAGGAGGAGGATGAGGAGGAAGATGATAATTTGCAGTAGGTATATATAAAGACAAAGGAAGGGAAATATGGAAGGCAGAAAGGATGGTCCTGTAGAAGGTGAGAAGCAACTGGAGGGAGACAAGTTGTGGATGAGAGGCCATGTAAGTTGAAAATTAATACAGGTCGGTAGATTTTTAGCCATTTGGTATTTGGAGTGGAGTGCAGATGAAAAAGTGAAACATATCAGATTTGGAATCATATGCAGGTACGGTAGAACCGTAGAAAAAGGACTTGGATTCTTTGCCCTCCCATTTCGGTGCCCCTTTTCGTGCCCTCCTGTTTTATGTGGTCACGGTTAATCCATGCTAACATTTTATATTGTTTTTTATAAAAATAATAAGATAAAAAAAATAATAATATAAAATATTGACGTGGCTTAACCGTGACCACACAAACAAGAGGGCACGGGGAGGGCAGAGAATCCAAGTCTGTAGAAAAATGGTTCCATTTTATATTTTTCTTTTTTGGGAGGTTGGTCAGTTGATAGATCCGTGACATTTTTTTTTAAAGATCCGTGACATCTTTTTTTTTACACAATTTGTTACTCACATTTTTATGGGAAGTACTTCGTAATGTATTTCAACGAATTGAATTGTCTATCTTTTAAGTATTCATTCAAATATCATGTCTATAAAAAATCATCTAAATCTGAAAACATATGAATGTTGGATTAAGAGTTTAAAGTTTCTATGTAGGACCACATTCGAGTTAGGAACCAATAACAATTATGTTCTTCCTAAATGTCATGCGCAATTGCAAGTGACCTTTTACCACAGTGATACAAAAGTGTTCAATCAACACTGTAAGTTTGAACTCTGTCATTAGCCAATCTAACATAGCTCTCTCGACCTTAGTAGAACCCATAAAAAGTAGTGAGTTTTAACGAATACTTTCGATACTATTTACTTTTAACAAAAAATCATATTTTTACATTTTTCTGATACTATTCACTACATCTTTATTTGTTAATTTTTATTAAAACTATTTTTTTTTTAATTTTTCGTTAGTTTTCCTTATAAAGTAAGGAAATTTTACTTTCTGTTTTCCTGGTTCTCACTTGTCATTGCCGACGAGTCAACAGATTCTTTCAAATTCGGTCAAACCCCACAACTCTTACTTTTACAATCTCTCTCTCTCTCTCTCTCTCTCTCTCTCTCATCACTCCCTTGCTTTTCACTCAGTCATTTGACTTATCTCTCTCTTCTCTGTCTGTGTGACTAGGGTTTCTCTCTCCTTCGAAAACCCAGCCAGTCCACTATTCGAGCCAAGGTTTTACACAATCCAACGACGGCGTTGCAGCTCGATTCCCTCTCTGTTTCACCTCAAAAAAGTGTATTGAATCCTCGTCAACTTTCGCAAATTCAATTCAATTTTTGGTTAGTTCTTGAGCTTCGATCTGATTTATCTGTAAAATTTGTCCATTTTTTCTTTATTTTCAGCTGAATTTATGGTCTCCGCAGAAAGATAATTTCTAAATTTGAACTTTTTGTTATGTATAAACTCAATTTTTGGATGTAATGCAGACATTTAATCTTGATTTGGTGAACGAGAGCGATGTGCTGAGCGATGGCGCTTAAGGCTCCAGCTCCGGAAGCTGCCGAGATTGCAATTGCATCCATTGGGCGTGGATACGATATATCCACTGATTTACGGCTCAAGTACTGTAAAGGGGAGTCTCACACTGCTCGATTGATTGAAATCGATGACGATGGAGGCCGCGAGATTGTTCTTCCCGGTGGGATTACCATCCCAAATGTTCCCAAATCGATTAAATGCGATAAAGGAGAGCGCACACGATTCAGGTCCGACGTTCTCTCTTTCCAACAGGTATCTTCAGTTTTTCTTAATCACAATTCTCGCATGTTTTTCTTGTTTATTGAATTTTTGGTATGCATGTCGTTCTGAAGTTTTGTAATCTAAACCTAATGTTCAAATGCGCGGCTGTCACGGCTTGGCTTGTTTTAAAACATTTATGAAGTTGGATGCAATCTAGAGTAGTAATGGAGGACATATAAGAGTCACATTGGGATCGGAAGACATCAAGCGAAAAATGTTATACGTATAAAGTGTTTTATGATTACCTGATCGTTAAAGATATATAACTAATTCGAAAATGAACACCACATTGATATAGCTCAATGCGTGTTACCAGTCCTCCCTTCCCCGAGAAAATAAAAGACGAAAATGAAAATGTCGTATGGCAAAATCCAGGCTTCATATTGTTTGGTTATGGGGATTGGGTTGTGGTGAGGCCGCCTTTTCAGTAAAATATGTGTTCTTTTCGTAGAATCTTATTTTGCAACTGTGATTTTACTTTAAGCATCGAAGCGGTAATAGAGGAGAAATTAAATTTGTTCTCTCTCTTGCAGATGTCAGAGCAGTTCAATCAGGAAATATCGTTGACTGGAAAAATACCCTCAGGTCTCTTCAATTCTATGTTTGATTTCTCAGGTAGTTGGCAGAAAGATGCAGCCAACACTAAGACCCTTGCTTTTGATGGGGTGTTCATCACTCTCTATACTGTTGCACTGGAAAAATCTCAGATGGTACTGTGCGAGAATGTTATTAAAGCAGTCCCATCATCGTGGGAACCTGCTGCATTAGCAAGGTGAGAGGTTTTTGGAGTTTTTAGTCAAATTACAACATTAATGCTAAGCTCCGTCTTTGAAGCTTCATATAGAGCTAATTAAGGAAAGTGTATTCACACACCTATTTTTACTTCTCACACACCTTTATTAATTTTTGGCCATTGATCTTCAATTCATTCAATCCGACGCCCGAAAATTGAGAGGGGTGTGTGATAGAACTACCCTTTATTAACTTCTGATAGGAAGCTTGTTTTTGTAATGTACTTCATATGCTAGTTGTTTGCCTATGCCATGCGCCTATGTTTCTTGTATTGTGGAAGTTACAAAAGGGGAAAGAAATAAGAAAAGAAACAAGCAAGAATCAGGCTTCACAAAGCTTGTCCAATACATTTACTTTACCTTTTAATCTGTAGCAAGTGAGGTTTCTATATTTGTGAAATTTTCTGTATCTGTCATTCGTATGCCTTCCCCTTCTGCCTGCATCATTCCACCTTTTCATGGGACATATTCTTCTCGTTTCATCAACTAATCTTAGTCTTGAATCCCGTTGAAGAGGGGAAATTGATTGTTGAATACTTTTTTTTTAAATGCTGTTGCCTGAAATAAATTGCATTAAATTCATAGGACCTTAAGCATGTTTCATGCTTATGCATATTCCTGCAATACTTGGGTGTCATGGTTCTCCAGCGAAATAATTAATTTCATGTTGATGCATTTATTGGTATAATCTGTATGGCATTAGTAAATCCAGTAATAGATGGGACTGAGTCTTCTGCGAGGCATGTTATGATATTTATATTTTATGTTTACTGTATTCCATGTTGACTGTATTAAAATTTTGGAAATGGGAACTTGTTTTTTGATATTTTATGTTTATTCTAGGTTTATAGAGAGATTTGGAACACATATTGTTGTTGGTGTGAAGATGGGAGGGAAAGATGTTATATATATGAAACAACAGCATTCTTCAACTCTTCAACCGGCTGATATACAGAAAAAACTAAAGGATATGGCAGATAAAAGGTTTTTAGATGCCAATGGTCAGTATGGTATGCCTTCGGAACAAGGTTACAAGAATGGCAAGGTTTGTATGGTGGTTAATTTTATCTCATTTAATAGCTGAGTGTTTAAAATGGTCCAATGAATTGTAAGCATACAATCTGATTCCTTATGCTAAGTTGGGACTGCTAAATAATTATTAGTTTTGGTTCTTAATTCTTAAAAAGGAATCCTGTCCACTTTGTTAGATAATAAAATAGTTGTTTTTTAGTTTATGGTGAGAAAGTAGTTGTCAATGTAATGACCTGTTTCTAAAAAAATGGATTAAAAAGTGTTTGAAGGTAGTTGTGAGTGTAATATTGAATCTTGCTATTTCAAAGTTTCTAGTAAGTATACGGTCTGGATACCAAGGATGTATCCTTTCATAGGTGTGCCAAAATTTGTGAGTTGATCAAAATGATTTAAAGAAAAGCTTCAGATGAATCCATAATAGATTATGACGTGCAAACTTTTTTATTTTCCTAAAGTTTTCATTTGGTGTGAAGAATGTTTATCATGAAAGTTTCATTGTTATAAGAGAGTATAACTAACCAATGATTAAATGTTGTTATATGGAACCATTAGGCGATGAGAACTGTGGTGTTTGCAGCATAGGTGGCAAGCTAGTTTGGCAGGAATTTGTGAGATTTGACTTTGAATTGCTTATATAATTCTTTTCTTCAACTATGGATTGGCTTTATAAATAGGCCATTCCTTGTAATTTAACCCTAGATTTTCTTATTAGTACTGATAATACAAGAATTAAGTTAAAAAGTTGTTCTCTTGAATTTGCTCTAAGTCTGCTTTTCTCTATTTCTACTGTATTCTAATTTCTTAACTCAACATGCATAAGTTATTTATCCTTTTTTTCCCGTTCAAAAAAGTTTCTTATCTAATCATTTGTTTTTCAGTTTGAAATCAGGGAGCAGCGGTTAAGGTTTGCAGATACTAGTCCATCAAGTTCCTATTCACAGAAGGAAGTGCGTATAATTACTAAACCTTGTTGATTGTCTAACTGGCTTCGTCGGTTATCAGATATATATAAATAAAAAAATAAATCCCTACATTTTCACTTCTGATTTTCAATTCTAAGTTACTTTAATTGCAGGACATTTTAAGCATTTGCAAGAGGAGAGGTGGAAGTGAGATGAGAAATATATCCCATAATGAATGGTTACAAACTGTTCAGTTGGAGCCTGATGTGATCACAATGTCATTTATACCAATTACTTCTCTGTTGAATGGAGTCCCTGGGAGTGGATTCTTGAGCCATGCCATAAACCTTTATTTACGATGTAAGCAAAAGTTTTTCTGTTTGTGTCACTTTTGTGTTTTATTTTCTATTTGCTGCTTTGAAAATCTTGACCCTCATAAGTGTGCGTCATAATAATAGGCTCCTATGTTGAACAATAGTAAGTGTCTTACTAAAATTTCAACCAAATAGTTTGTTTTATTAGGTTGCCAGATTGTCAGTCTGGATCGTTGATCAAGTGGAATCTTGTTTGGATTCATGGTCTCATTTCACAGTTTGGCAGCATGTGTTTGTGAGCACGTGCCTTTGGAAGCTGCCGATTTGTATTTACTTAGTTCAGTTGTAGGAGTCGGGTTTTCTGCTGAAGATCGGCTGTTGTTATGGCCCTTGAGTCTGATTTCAGGTTTCTAGTCGCTGATGCTTGTTCAAGATTATGTGCAGTCCTAATCTGAGGTGTGATAACAAGGAACACTAGGTGCTAGGACACAAACCCACAACCTCCCTCTTAGGGGAATTAATGGTACAAGGGTCTGTTATTCTATCTATTTTATTAAACAAATTTATGCAAATTCTCCAATGGAACAGTCACCACACTACCTTTAAAATTGTTATACAGCCTATTAAAAAATTCTAGGGTCTACAAGTAGCCAACTTAACTTCATGGGCACTATTTATAGCCCCTTAAAAGCCACAAGCTTAAGTCTAGCCAAATCTCTAATGCTCATTTCTTTCTTAAATCTTTTTCTAGACATAAATTTCGTGGATGACAATTATTTTTCTGGCCATAATCTTGTTTGGACTTTTTTTTTTTTGTTTGGTTGTTAGGGAAACTAAATATAGACAAATAATTTACTTTAAAGGCGTTTCCTGACATAAAATATCTCAAATGCATATGCATAGCTCTAAATGCTTTTATTTGTAATTTGGAGAAAAATATTCTTCACCGTATTTGCTTCTCTTCTAGGAAATAAAATATCAACTAGGACAACATGATTTTCTTAGAAACAAAGTTAACATGTGGACATTTTTATTCTGCTCCTATTCTTACAGATAAACCACCACTTGAAGAACTCCATCAGTTTTTGGAGTTTCAGCTGCCAAGGCAATGGGCACCGGTTTTTAGTGACCTGCCCCTTGGTCCACAGCGGAAGCAACAAAGCAATGTATCTCTACAGTTTAGCTTAATGGGGCCCAAACTATACGTCAACACTAGTCTGGTAAAGTGTCTCCTTTACCTTTTTTTTCTTTTAAGCAGAAGTAAAGTTCAGTTGCATGACTGTTTTAATTAAGTTTATGTTTTTTTTCATCTCGAACTTTGAACCAGATGAGCAATCATCCATTAACTTGGGAAAAATTACATGCTGTATGGATGGCATCTGTTTGAGTGGTCATTTACTGCTTTCCTATTCATTCTCTTATGATGCTCCAATAATTCCATGGCATAAACTAAACCTCTTGACTGTTGAGCAGAAAAAGAGAAAAGGATCCATGAGTATTTGTCGTGCTTAAAAATAGTTTCCTTACCGGCAGAAATCTTATTTGTTATATGTTGATATCAGGTTGATGTGGGAAAGAGGCCAGTGACTGGTCTGCGACTGTATTTAGAAGGCAAAAGAAGCAACCGTTTGGCCATTCACTTACAGCACCTCACCTCTCTTCCAAATATCTTCCAACTCGAAGATGATCCAAATGGAAACTTTCGTCGTGATTCCTATGATCGTAAATACTATGAGAAAGTCCAGTGGAAGAACTTCTCCCATGTCTGCACTGCCCCTGTGGAGTCTGATGAGGATCTTTCAATAGTAACTGGAGCCCAGTTACAGGTTGAGAATTATGGAATAAAGAATATCCTCTTCTTGAGACTCCGCTTCTCTACTGTTTCCGGTGCGAGAAATGTAAAGCATCCTGAGTGGGATGGATCACCAGGCTTGGCACATAAGTCCGGACTCATATCAACACTAATCAGCCATCATTTTACAACAGCTCAGAAACCACCTCCACGGCCTGCAGATGTGAACATAAACTCCGCCGTTTACCCTGGAGGTCCTCCGGTACCCATCCAAGCCCCGAAGCTTCGGAAATTCGTTGACACAACAGAGATGGTAAGAGGGCCACAGGAGACTCCGGGTTATTGGGTTGTCTCTGGGGCAAGGCTAGTGGTTGAGAAGGGCAGGATATCCCTCCGTGTGAAATACTCTTTGTTGACTGTAATATTACCTGACGAAGAAGAGTTGGAGGGACAGTAGCGGATTCCGCGTGTTGTCGAAGAAAATGGGAAAAAAGATGAAATGGTACAGATGTTTGGTACTGGGAGGAAGAACGGGGGGGTATTCGATACTGTGAGAGTTGCCGAGGCTGTTGTAGTAGTGTTGTATATTTCATTTCTCACCTCCGATGTCATTTGTTTTTGCAATGTAGAATTTTCTGACCTTCACAAGTTCACAACAGGGCAGGGTTCTACCTTTTGCAAATTATATGGTGTAAATTTTTGGAAGGGGTATGTATCAAGAGCTGAGCATCGGCTTTCACTAGCGACTAGGCGTCGCGAAAGGCACCGTGGCATGATGTCCAGATTTGGATGAATTTACCGGAAGAGGAGGTGGTGATTTGGCGTGACCGCCGCGGTGGCCCCATGTCCAGATTTGGATGAATTTACCGGAACAGAAAAAAGTGGCAGTCTCGTCTGTCTTCCTTATGAACATATAGGGAAGGGAGTGAAATTCCATTTTTGCATGGCCTTCCTTAATATAATTTGATTTTACTAATTAAGTCGGGTATCAATTCTAGTCTTGTTCTTTTGGGTATTTTCACATTAAAAAAAAAAAAACATTTCAAACTCAAAAATTTGGAGGAAAACCCTACTTTGTACGAAAGGGTTTTTTTTTTTTTTTTTTTTTTTTGGGTCCAATCAAACTCTTGGAAGTGTTTTTCCATAATATTTATAGTTGGGAATGGTTAAATAAAACTGCCAGCATTACTAAATTGTCATTTTTTTTTTTCCGTATTTGGCATAAATCAAATCTAAGACTTCTTATATAAATCAATAATTGGCATTTTATCCGACAGAAAACAATAATACCTATGTAATGTGGTGCGGGCTCGATTTTCACTTATTTGGTTCTTTAACATTAAACAATTTAACTCGCTAACTTTATTGTTTGTAAAAAAAAAACAAAACAATAATTGGCATTTATTGTTTAACAAAGTTAACTTGAAACTTATTATTCTTTTTGTCTAAAAAAAGGGAAAATTGGCTGTCCTAATCCTCCATGACCTCGATCAAGTTTTCTACGTTATCTTTATTTCTAATTTGTAACGACGATAATTTACCCTAAATTATATATAATTAGAGTTGGCGTTTTTGCTTGTCTTGCTGGAGGAAACAGCACAAGCAGTCGTGCAATTCTTGTTCATGTACACTTGCCCCTTCTTCTCGTTCCACTTTCAATCAATTTCTTTCTTCTTACGCGAAAATGGCGGATGCGCTCGTCTCCATGCTGCTACAACGGTTGGCTTCAGCAACTTATCGATACATCGAAGGAGAGCTTAAATTAATCTTGAACGTCGAGAAAGAAGTTGAAGATTTCACTAGCAATCTCAGTGATATTCAAGCTGGAGGATGCAGAGCAAAGGCAAGTAAAGGAGGCCAGCGTCAGAGGCTGGTTGGACAAGCTGAAGCAAATACCCTACGAAATGGGGGACGTGCTGGACGAGTGGAACACTGAAATTCTGAAACATTAAGTTGACAAGCAAGAAAGAGAACCTAAGAAGGTATGCTTCTCTATTTCTTCCCGTTGCTTTTGTTTTGGCCATGTAAGTTGGGGTTGGGTATTTTCCGGCATGACATTGCTCTCAAGATCAAAGATTTAAGTGATAGGTTAACTGTGATTGCTAAGCAAAGAGAAATGTATAATTTTCAACACACAGAAAGAGTCATTCAACAACCTCAACAGCAGAAAACATCGTCTTTTGTCGATATATCTAAGATATTTGGTCGGGAATTTGAAAAGGATATGTTTGATGAGATTAAGATTGCCAATGCCATTTGTGGTAACAAGACCCCAAGTTCAAATGAGTTGGACCATGTCTTGCAATGTAAGTCTAGATCCATCAAGGGCAAAATGTTTCTGCTTATCTTAGATGAGGTCTAAACAGAAGACCGTAAGAAGTGGGACAATTTAAAACTACCGCTAATGCAAAGTGGTGCTAAAGGTAGTAGAATATTGGTGATTACTTGAAAACAAAAGGTTGCAAGTATGATGAGAGCAACCACGCACATGATCAATTTGGAAGAGTTGAGTGAACATAATTGTTTGTCAATCTTCAATGACATGACATGACATTTTCTGATAGGAAGTGGGTGAGTCTAACTTGTTTGGAGATATAAGCAAGGATATTGTAAAGAAGTGTAAGGTTTTGCCTCTTGCTGCAAAGGCTTTAGGTAGTCTCATGCATGTTAAGAGAATGAAGGAAGAATGAAATGATGTTTTAAATAGTAAGATATGGGAGCTAGCAGCGTTCGAGCAAGAAGTGTTCCAACCACTCTTATTAAGTTATTATGATTTGACACCAACAATCAAATGTTGCCTTTTATTTTGTGCTATTTTTCTAAAGGGTTAGGTATTTGACAAAGATTATTTGATTACTTTGTGGATGGCACAAGATTATCTTAACTGGAATGAGAATATAGATAAAGGAATACTTGGTAACACATTTTTTTGATAACTTAGCTGTGCGGTCTTTTTTCCAAGATTTTAAGAAGGACCGTGATAGTGGTAAAGTTATAAGTTGCAAAATGCATGATATCGTGCATGACTTTGTGCAATTTCTCACCAAGAACGAATGCTTGATTACGGAAGCTAAGGGTGGTAAGAACGAAATAGAGGTGTTGGGTGATAAGGTTTGCCATTTGACCTTAACATTTGTACCTTATGGCCAACGTCCACCTTCGATCTCCTCTCACAGTTGCAAGAACATAGTACTCTCAGAGCTTCTCGGTTAAGAATTTCAACAGTAGACTTGGGTTTTATTTCACAATTGAAGGGTCTGAGGACATTAAATTTGAGTGGTAATTCCATCAAAGAACTCCCTGAGGAGATTGGTGATTTGGTACACTTGAGGCATATTGATTTGTGTGTTAATATTGGGTTCAGTGTTCTAAAAAATCGGTCTAGGCGGCCGCCTAGGCCCTCGGTGGAGGAGTCCCGACCCGATTTAGGCTGAAACGTTCATGTAAGGTGGGGAAGATTTAGGCGGCTACCTAGGCGCTACCTAGGAGCCCTAGGCGGTCTGGGCGATTCTTAGCGGTTGTCTAGGTGGCTCTGCAACTCTTACGTAGGATTTGCAACGCCGAATCTCAAAGTGGAGCCTCGATTGAAATTTTGCTGCTCACGCCTAGGAGCCCTAGGCGGTCTAGGCGATTCTTAGCGGCTGTCTAGGTGGCTTTGCAACTCTTACGTAGGATTTGCAACGCCGAATCTCAAAGTGGAGCCTCGATTGAAATTTTGCTGCTCACCGTTTGTGAGTAGAAGAGGAAAGAGAAAATGCAAAAAGAGAGAAACTCTTAACTTTTAAGGTATTAATCCATGGCAGCGCGATTTGGATTTGAGATCCAGTTCGACGTTCTGATGACTAAAGGAAGAAGCAGAAGAAACGGAAAAACTCAAATGGGAAGAGTGTTCCATTTTCCAAAGGGTGTGATAATGATATGGGCTTTGGAAATCTTGGGTAGCGTGACATAGTTAGGGTGGAGGGAACAGAAACACAGATGGGATGTGATATTATTTGGTTATAAATCTTTAATAACCACACACTACCTTTATGTGGAGTTTATTGGAAAGGACCTGGATTGTCTGCCCTTCCCCATCTCATCCCCTTCCCATCCCCTTCTATTTATGTGGTTACGGTTAAGCCACGTCAACATTTTATATTGATTTTTTAATAGAAATAATAAGACAAAAAGTAATGGGAATATAAAATGTTGACGTGGCTTAACCATGAACACAGAAATAAAAGGGGATGAGAAGGGTATGGGATAGGTAGGGCAGACAATTCAGGTCATATTGGAAATCTTGGGTGGTGCGACAGTGTTAGGGTGCAGGGGTCAGAAACACATATGGGATGGGATGGGATTTTATTTTTTTTTATTTTTTATTTGTTTTTTGAAGAAGGGATGGGATGTTATTTGGTTTTTAATCTTTAATAACCACTGTGGATGCAAATTTCTTCCTCCTTGATCTTGGACAATTTTGCACCTACAAAACAATTAACACCTTAGGTTAAGGCCAAGAGCCTCACGCACCCACGATGAAGGGGGGGGCTTTGGCTGAAGAACCTCTGATGCCAAAGTTAGAATTTAGAGAGAAATAGTGTTTAAAGAATTTTGGGATTTTTGCCAAAGTGTTGGAACTATCTTTTGGTGAAAATGGGAATCTATTTATAGGGATAGGGGTGACCGGCCTAGCTAGGGTTTTTGTGTTTGATTTAGGTTTAATTAGCCAATTTATTTGGCTATTTAAACATAAAATGAATGTTTTGGTGGTTTTTGGAATTAATTGGCTAGTTAATTAGGGTAATTAAAAAGGGAAAATAGTGGAAAAGGTGGTGAATAAGATGGTTTACTTTTCTTGATGGGATTGGCCGGCCACTTTAGTAGTTTTAGGTTTGGATGGGTGTTTCAATTGATAATTAAGGGATTGATTAGGTAATTAATCCCTTAATTAGTCAATTATTATGATTTTAGGAAATATGAAAGGAATAAGTATATTATTTAGCTAATTGATTAGCTAAATAATGAAATGGGAAATATATGAATAAATTAGGTTTTAAGTTGATACCTATTTTGGGTATTTTTGACTTGGTTGAGGGATAATTGCCTGCTGCTTGGGCGTAGGAATCCCGGTAGGCCTCAAGGGTAGTTTTGTCAAAAGTCCACGTGTCGCCTAGTGAATATTTTTGGCTCCACAACCACCCACTTCTACGTGGGGTTTTTATCATTTCAAACAGCTTGGAATATACCTACATTATATACATATATATATGTGTGTTATATATTTATATAAATTATTGGGATAATGTTTTTTTTTTTACTTAATATAATCACACACACACACATATGCATATAATTTTTAATAAATTGTGTGTTTTTTTATTTTTTAGTTTCATAGTGGCACTTATGAAAATGGTGTACCTAATTTGTAAATGATGGATTGACTACAAATTCATCCAATTGTGAAATGATTGGAGAACTTTTAAGGGGATACATACAAGTATAGTTTTTTTTTAGTGTAACTAAGCACTTATTTACAAGATATATAATAAATTTACATAAATCCGCCTAGGCGCCTAGGTGGTAGGCCCATGTCCACCGCTCGACTAGCGCCTAGCGTTTTTAAGAACCTTGATTGAGTTGGAGATATTACCTGACAGTATCCACGATTTGTACAATTTGTATACCTTGCGCCTCAAGCGATGTTATGCACTTCGAAAACTACCAGATAACATGGGGAAGTTGATCAACTTAACGCATCTATACGTCGAGGGATGTGCAGCTCTGGCTTACTTGCCAAAGGGGTTAGGGAGATTAACAAGTCTCCAAACACTGGATGCGTTCAGTGGTGACCACGAGAAAGCATTTCAATTTGCGGATCTGAGAACGTTGAACCTTGAGGGGAGGCTCACCGTTACTTTCCCCGGGGATGTGGAAGATGTGAGTGAAGTTGAGAAAGCACAACTATGGGATAAAAAGCAACTGTTTCATCTCAGCCTTATTTCTCGAGTTGAGGACAACATGCAGAGGGAAAACACTGCTGTAGACATCTTGCGACCGCACGAAGATTTGGAATCTTTGTACATTTTTGGATGGCGTCTTTGCACAATTTGAGAATCCTTACTCTTAAGTGCTAGGGATGAGTGTGAACTTTTGTCTCCTCTTGGGAAATTGCCGTCCCTTGAAAGACTAACCCTGCGATGGATGGAAAGAGTGAGGAGGGTTGGTGTTGAATTCTTGGGATACAAGATCAAACATCATTCAATTCATCCTCCTCATTGTTGCCGAAACTGAAAGAACTGAGCTTTTATGAAATGTCGGAGTGAGAAGAGTGGGAAGGCATGGAAGGGTGGAAGAAAGACCATTGTGAACTCACAGTAATCATGCGAAGCCTTTCTTCCCTAGAAAATTAGGAATTCATGCCTGCCCTAAGCTAAAAACACTGCCAGACTTCCTCTTCAAAAGACCTATGGAGAATCTTGACATCTCTGGATCCATGACGCTTTCAGATCGTTACAAATTATAACGTGTGAACTCTACCAATCTCATCATCCACCTCTTCTGGTAACTGAGCTTTTATTTGGATATTTAAGTAGGTTGATGAGTGGATTTTATATTATGTCTTTTATCTTAATCTTAGTTTATTTTGGTTATTATTTTGGAAGAATTTTGATACTTTAAATTGTATTTTCAATATAGGACTTTCGACTTCTTCTGGGGAAAAACGTAATCAAATCAATGAATTTTGGAGTAATTCCAATTGGAGGATGTTCGTGAGTCGCTTAGCTTGATCGTGTCAAAATATCAGATTTTTCCAACAAGCGGTTATTGTCAGGCTATAAAATAAAGGAGCAGTGCGCGATGCTGGAAAAGTGTCGTTTTGATTGCAAGTTTTGGAGCACAAGATGACCTATTTTGGATTTAGCCCCTTTTGGAGATGTGTTCAAAATGTTCCAATCTTTAAAAGAATATGTCTTCCAATCTTTAAAATAAGTTTTCATGGGCCAGATTGGAAGGAGATTTAAGGATAAAACGTGGCTGGACAGTTCTTGCAGATTCTCCTAGCTTAATTAGGATTTTATTTTATAGTATATTTTATTATTATTTGGTTTCCTAGTTGGATCCAAAGACTTATATTAGGGGATTATTGGTTAGATTTTGTAGAGCGATATAAGGTTTTTACCTTAGTTTTCTTCTTCTTCTCTTACGCGACTTTGGAGATAGGAAATTGGTTAGGGTTCTTGAAGAATTTCAGACTTTTACCTTAAGGTGTTTTCGATCTTTTTCTTTTTAATAATATTTTCTATGATTTTAATTATGAATATGTGTAACTAATCTGTTTTGCTAGGGCGAAGCCTTGAGCCTTAGTATGAATATATAATTTTTATTTGATTGCTTGTGATTGAATGCATGCATGCTTTGAATTATTGATTACTGTTTTGAACTATTTAATTGTCTTAATGCTAGATCACCATTAAGATCTTTAAAAAAGTAATTTGATGCAATTTTGGTTGGAAGGTTCCCTGAAATTGACGCTGGCTTCTCGTGATTAATAATTGTAATTTCACTTAAGATAAACACCACGTTTTAAGGGTGCATGGTTTTTCAAAGGGTTTTCACAAAACATAATGAGTCTCTCATATTCATATTTGATCTAAACGTCCGGATGAGTTGCATGTTAGATGTACGTTCTATGTTGGAGGTTCCAAGTAGGGTATATATTAGGAAAATCTAACCTTCAAAGTTGCAAGTGTAGATCATAAGTAATTAGTAAAAATACATAGGATTGCTAGGATGATAGCGGAACCCTAATGCTTTTATTATTATTTTTTTTTAATACTCCTTTCTTTAATCTTTTTAACTTTGGCCAAATTTATTATTTGTTTTTAAAAAAAAAATCGTTTTTAATATTACCTAATTTTCAAATCATATTTCTCAATTTTCAGTTTCAAGTAATTAATTAGGAATTGGTTTTACATAAATTATTTAAATAGTCCTTGTGGAGAACGACCTTGCATGAGCATATATACTACAACAACCTCATACTTCTGCAAGTATTTTGTGTGATTTTAACATTCTTTACGTAGGTACTAAAAATCCTATCATATGTATCAATGTTACGACTACGTAGCATAATATTTGTTTGCTTATTTTTGTTCTGAATCTTTACACATGATCGCTAGGCAGGATTTTGTTAATGGAGCAATGTCGATAAAGTGGTGACCCGCTGCTACACATTTTTCTGAAGTTCTGTAATAATCTAGAACAAGCATCAGCGACTAGAAACCCGAAATTAGACCCTGAAATCCATTCATCATTTCAGGGATTTTATTGAAGCTATAACAATGATCCAGATGTAAGAGACTTGTACGTAGTTAAAACGATTAAAATCTTGCATGGTTGTACCTAACGTCATGTGTTAGAATCACCCCTCCCCCGAGGGGTAGTGAATGTTTGCAGTTCTATTTTCTAATGTCAATGGAGTCGTACAAAATTGAACTTTCCTTAATTTTCTTTGTAAATAGGACTCTGTGCAACTCACAGAAAATATCCATCTGTAGTCATGCACTTGACGTAGTTCTTAACCATGGGAGTTTTTTATGCATCTCACTCCCTCACCAGAAAGGAAAACACAAAATACAGTAAGAAAGATCGGATTCTTGACGACGTTTCAAAGTAGTCAACTGCTGTTATGTGGTGATGGACAGTAGTTATTCGCAGGCAGGAAATTGATATACAAACAGCCTCTCCAGTTGTTATAATATAATGCCGCAGGGAAAGTATCATCTACAACCATCCTAACGAGGAAGTACAAATTTATTATGTTCATGGGAAGGCCAATAAATCCCTTCCCTGGAGCACCTCGGCAGAGGAGCTGGTTGTGCAATGTAGGTCGGACACTGCTCTCCCGGCATCACTACTGAGAAATCTGGCGCATACGACGTTGAAACCTGTGACATCGATGAACAAATTATGATCAGCTAGCTCAAACAAGTACATGTAGTCGCCTTCTTTCGAGAACAATATATACCAAGTAGAAACAAACTTACTGTTTGTGGAATAATTCTTCCATGCTTGTCAAAATGTCCGGACTCGGGAGATGCATGATGAGTGAGAGCTTGAGGCGTGGAAAAAGAATTAGGACTTGGCTTAAACAAATGTTCAAAGATAGCCATGATAAGAAACATGGAAATCAAGATAGCCGTGGCTACAAAACCGTAAGAAATGGCACTCATGCTCGATGTCCCGGAGCCCTTCCATTGCACTTGTCGATCAATTCCTGATTGAGAAGAAGAAGGGTCTGAACTTGTGTAGTATATGTTCCATGGCTTTGGTCTTTCAGAACCAGTCTCGTTCATAGTCTCCGGTCACTAGGCTTTTGCTTTCCTCTCCCCTCTACAAAGCAGCTGATTTCGGGTATTTGGTATGGATAAGCTACGAACTAATTAACGAGAGAAATCAAATGTATGCTTATTGCAGCTAATATTTCTTCTTCTGTATGTTTGTCTTTGCACATACATTTTGAACACTTCAACCTCAAGCTGAAAAGGAACACATGAAAACCAATACTCTGCTGAAATCAACATGAATAAACGAAAACCCGAAAATTGGAAAAAATTCCAAAATCAACAACTTTAAATGTATCTGCCACTCAATTTACGTTGCATAATTCAGAAGACATAAAGGATTTCTTCTGTTGAAAATTCTAAACCAAACAAGTGTTTGGAGCGATAATCTATACTAAATTTATCTAAAACTACGAGGTGGGGAATTTGGACTTGCAAGCAGAGGGGGGAGCGAATTGCTCAAGCCAACTTGGATACGCCCAAGTCTGCAGCAAAAGAAACAGCTTACTGCATTGAAATTGGGGCAACATTTATGCATTTTCAGGTTGCAGCATTGGGTTTTTGGTCGAGTACTCTAATTCATTTAACTAAACACATTACAGAAAATGCACAAAACAACATAATCACTGAATTAAGTTAAATGGACTGAATTAATTCAGTGAATCCTGCTTGTATAAAAAAATCACTTCAACAACATTTTCAACAGACCTAAAAGTTCCAATGGGATCAACCGAAAGAGTGAAAAAATTTCGGACGCTATTAGGAACATAATCAGCACTGCAATGACATAAAATCTACATGTTTAAGGACTAACCTGGTCTTAGAAGCAGTAAATCCATTGTTTCTGCTCCACAGATACAGCAGCAACCGTGATCATCGTCTCCGATCCGATAGCTTAACTAGCTGCCACAGAAGAACAAGTTACCCACACACACTTCTGATTGCATTATTTAGAAGAAAACAGCTCTCACCCAGCTATATAGCTTTATAATATCCTCCAATGCCACAGAAAATGTAAAGACAAAGTTATATGATAATCCCTTTGGCTTTGGCAATTGGTAGTACATCTTTTCATGTTTTTCTTCATGATCTTTGATGCCTAGCTTAATGGATACTATACCTTGTCTGAAGAAGCAAACTTAAAGAAATCAAAAGAATGGGCCTCCCTGTCTGTCTAGCCAAAAACAACGCTCCCTTTGGTGCTTTTTAAAAGTTGACAACTTTTTTTAAGTGCTAAACTTCATTTAATTAGGGTAATAAAATCTGGACGCAATCAAGTTAGCTACATTACTACTGCACCAAGTTCAATTTATTTTCCTCATAGCTTAAATTAGACTAGAATATCATTAGCATACAAAAAAAAATACTTGGCTTCTTACATGTGAGAAGTCGTTCATTCTTTAATGATTATATGATATCGTTTCACCATACAATCGTCATAATCAAAACCACTTATTCTCTTTATCATCATCTAAATATCATCTCTAGAAGAAAAAAAATCATTCATTTTGAAGTCTGTTTAGCTATTTATATGTGTCAAACAAATCGACGATTATGGTAAATAAATCTCTAAATCAATTTGTTTGATTCTTATGGATGACTAAATAGTCTCTAAATCAAATGAATTTTCTAGAGATGATGTTTAGATGACGATGAAAAGGAGACTGAATGATTCTAAGAGAAAGAAGAATGACTTTTTAACGTAAGGAGTCAAACATTGTTCTAAAAAAAGTTCATTTAGGTCACAATTTGTATTTCTAAACCTACTCATTAACCCACATGAGTCCATCTGCCATTTGGTGGAAATTAGCACAAGTTATGATTTCTTAGCCATTCTTGGCATAATTTACTACATTTTCTTTACATAAATTACCAATGAGTAAAAGATTATATGCATCAAGTGCTTAACCAACATGCACAAACATGATCATTCCAAATTTATAACTATAACAACAATTAAACTTTATCCTATTAAGTAGGGTCGGTTGTATGAATTATAAAGCACAGTTACACTCTATTTTGCGTCAAATATTCCGTTAATTTCAACTACTCCATATCTTCATAGTTTATAATTATAATCTAGAACAAATAAAAGATTAGAGTTGGGAAACTACTCAATTTGTGGAACCTAATTTTAAACTTTTGGGTTAAAAGTCACAAAGATTTCAAATCCAACATTAGCATTGGAGTGTAATCATGGAAAGGTGAACAATATCTCACATAATCTCCAATAATTACCCACTAAATAAAAAGAAAGAGCAAAAAAATAAAGACATAAAAAAGAAAAAGCTGCTAAAGATTATTAAAACTAACTAAAGGCTGCTGCAGGTGCAAGGTGTGTATTAAATCTTAATAAGAAAATACCAAAAAATAAAAATTTAAATGAAAAAAATAAGGTGGGAAATCTAGAGAGAGAGAGAGATAGAATCAATCATAGCTGTACTGTACCAGCAGTTGAGGAAGTATTGAAATCTACTTCAGATCGATCAAAGTGTACAGGCGGAGAAATTCGAATCACTTAATTTTAATTTTAGGAATAATCAATTTCAATAGCCCGTTGCATAAAAATTAAAAAACTTGAATAATCTAAATCTTCTCTCTCTAAAACGGTTTAGATATCTCAATCTCTAAATTCCGAACACGAAAATTTGTAGTGGATTTTATTCCAACGAGAAAGGAATGATTCAACAGAAGAAAGAAAATGGGGCAATAGGGGTAGCAATAGCAATTAGCATGCATAAAAAAACAAAGCTACAAAAAGGAGGAGGTGACATGTAGACCACATCAAATTGTTCCTCATATACATACTTTTATAAATAAAAGATGCCCTTTTGAGACTTTTGTCAGAATCACTAGAGCCAATTACCTGAATTCTTTACAAAGAAAAACCCACCAAAACTCAAAGCAAAGTTTTAAAGTAAAGGGCCCTGTTGACTCACCAAAGTGGAGCCGTGTAGCGTGGTCTTATGAATAAAAATATCATTATAGTATTTCATTGGACGATAGAATTTATTATTGAAATCTTAAATTCAGATTAGACAAGAGTAAGATAGCAAAATATAAAGAATAGTGATTTTCGCATGCCGTTTTCTTCTTTTTTACACATTTCGCAAGCCGATTTACACAAAAAGGGGGGGAATTTAGAAAACAAATCAAGTATGTGATCCAATATCCTAGTAAATAGAGTGTTGGCTTTCCAGCTATGCGTTTCAGGTTCAAAACTTCTTCCTCCTCTAAATTATTGTAATAATTTCAAACGCATTCCGCTCCTTTTTTATTTTTTTTAAATTAAAAAAAATTGAACTCATATAGCTGTTTTACAAAGAAAAACCACCAAAACTCAGCAAAGTTTGAAGGGAGTTTTAACAAAACATTTCTGGTACTGTTCACTTTTAACGAAAAACTACATTTATACATTTCGCTGGTACTATTTACTATACCTTTAAAAATGACTTTTCATTAAAATGGAAGGTTTTTTTGGACTTTTCGTTAGTTTTCCTAAGTTTTAAAGTAAAGGACCATGTTGACTCCAAAGTCGAGCCTTATAGTATGGTCTTATAGATTAAAATATCATTACAGTATTTCATTGTATGATGGAGCTTAATATTGAAATCTTATATTTTAAATCAACATGAGTAAAACAGCTAAATGTGTAGAGATATGATTTTCCCATGCAATTTTCTTCTTTTTTACACATTTCGCAAGCCAATTTGCAAAAAAAAGGGGAGGGAGGGGGAGGGGGGAATTTAGAAAACGAATCAAGCATGTGGTTCAATATTCTAGTAGATAGAGTGTTAAGTTTTCATCCATGCGTCTCAAGTTCGAAACTCTCTCATTTTTTAAGTATTATAATAATTTTGAATCCATTATGCCCTTTAATAATAATAAATTGTTAAAATAAAAAATAAAAAATAAAATGCTGAGAAAAATAAGGAAGAGAGGGGTAGCCTTGGCCATTGAGTGCAAGCCTTTTATCAACAAGGCCATCACCATGTCTGAGACTGATGTGAAAGCCTATCTAGACTGGTACTCTTTCATATTTTTAATATTTTTAATATTTTTATCTTATGCCAATCCACACACATACAAAAAAAAAAAAAAAAAAATCCAATAACTTGACCAATATTGTCAAACAATGGATTTAGATCAACTCTAACCCTGGGCTATTTGCCAAATTTCCCCCAAAATTTCCCCCCAAACACCATCCAACCCAAGCTAAAACATTGGGCTAAAAGCCAAATGCTAAAGCTGGGCCAAATCCCCCCCAAACACGCGTGGACTCGCATGATTTTGGGCTAGTCTCGGCCCGGTCACTCGCTGACGCCCCCCACTCGGGCTGCTTGCCATCACGTCCCGACAGCGTGGGACCCCAGCGTCAGGGCCATGTCGGCCACTTGCCCGAGCCCAACGGCTCTTTTCCGCATATGACGGCCATCGTTTAAGGACCGTTGGTTGATCCAACGGTCCAGATTCAAATTTTATTTTTGAAAAATATGTTATTTTAAAATACATTGAATCCAACGGTTGAGATTTAATATACTCAAATCTAACGGTAAAAAAAAGATCTAACGGCCCAAATTAAAATCCAACAACTAAAATAATTAAATAAATTTATTTAACACAAAATTTACCCAAAAACTCTATAAATACCTATGTATTTGTTCAAATATTCACACAAAACTCAAATTTCTCCAACAATTCTTCCAATTTATCTTTCTACCATTTCTTTCCTTTCCCAAATTGTTCAACATGCCAAGAGAGCATGTTAGAGGTAGTAATTGGACCTGTGAGGAAGATGTTTCTTATGCTTGGCGTTGAAAGTTGAAAGTTTGGTGTTGAATGGTTGGTGAAAGTTGAAAGTTTGGAGTTGAATGGTTGGTGAAAGATGAACAGTTGGTGAAAGTTGAAAGCTTGCTTTGTGAAAAATTTAATGATTTTTCAATATTTATCGGAATTTAAATTTTTTTTAGATTAAAATGTTCATAAAATTAATTTACAATAGTCTACATATTTATTTTTTATTAAGAAAAATTGATTTAAGAAAAAAATTAGCCTAAATTCATTCTTTAATAATTCCGGGCTAAAATTTTAGGTCAGAAGTGTTGGAACAGAAAAGATGTTTCCGGGCTAAAAACCAAAATTTCCGGGCTAAAAAATTTGGCTTTTAGCCCAAAGGTTGGAGATGGTCTTAGATTGTAACTCAATATCTTATGTTTCTCAACACTTTAAATAGAGAACATTTTCACTTAATTTCTTGCCAGCAAATATTTTTCTCTTTATTTAAAGCTTGCCATCACGTGAGAACACTACATAATGCACAATCAAAGTAAGGCACGGTAAATAATTCGGATCAACGACCTACTCCTAACCACACCAATATTGTCTCTCTTGTTCGTGGCCTCCGACACGCTATTCTCATTGTTCAACATGGTCTCACCGTCTGACTGCTGTTTTTGTTTTGGATTTGATTTTGGAACCCCTCAAGGAGGAGACAGACAAATATGTACTACCAGTTTTTGCCACTTCACATGCTCTACTTTTGCATTATTTTATTTATTTTTACTTTTTTTTCCGGGTCAACATATACGTATGTGGGCTGTGATAAAACATTAACCTAAAACTTTCTACAAATGTGTGGGTCCCTTTCACAATAATAATCAAACGGCTAATCGATTTTAACAATTTTCTATTAACGTATCGGAAGAACTTGAAAATTTACCAATTCGGATCATGAGATTAATATAATTAACAACGGAGCGGTGTCTGGGTGGATAAGCACAAAAAATTGTCAGAAGTATTTACTCGTTTGGAAGTATTAAAAACCCTTTTGTTAAAAGTGCTTTTCGCAGAAAGAATTTAAGTATTTTTTCAAAATCCATTCGCATTATTACTAAGAATTAATCCAAAACACTCTCATCGAAATCTTCTTGTGCAATAAGCTTGAACAGGAATAGAAAGAATCACGAGCTAAAGCGATAGAAACAGCAAAACGATCACTTCTCGGGCTTAATTAGCCGGGAAAACAACGAAAGAATCCGATAAAACTCTGTCACAAAACTGGAAGCAGGCAAAACTTGCAATCCAAACCAGAAACATAAAAATGTCCGAATAACTAGCAAGCAACGAATGAAAGAAAATGGGGATTACTGTGGATCGATCACCATTGCCAGATTAAGCCTTGAGCCGCCCGTAGTACCTCGCCTTCTCTTGGGTAGTCTGGAAGCGACCGTGACCAAATTTGGACGATGTATCAATGAACTTGAGCTTAATGTCCTCCAGAGCAACCCTAGATGTTTGCTTCAGAAGCGTCTGCCTCAAAGTAACAACGCGCTTTTTAGGACCCACGCAGCAGCCTTTCATTAGAAGGTAATCCTGCTTCACTTCACCGTAGTGTGGGAAACCTCCCATCGGGGTAATATCCTTCTCAGTCCTGAACATAAAAACATTTTAATATCATCAGTAAAAGTTCATGTTAAACCCAATTTCCAACACGTACAAGTAAACCAATGATGCAAATTCGATCCCAGTGAAGTCAAACGAAGAAGAAAATTACAAAGGAAGAGGCACCAACCTGTCAAATTCAGTCATTGCAGAGTGCGACTCTTGATCAGCCTTTCCGAGCTTGTAAATCTTCTTGTTCATCTCAGTACGATGGTGGTAACCATTCTGCCCAGCCCTGGCAACAGTAAACGACACCCTAGCTGGATGCCAGGCACCAATACAGGCTACTTTACGTAGACCACGATGGGTCTTACGTGGAAGACGGGTGACGCCCCATCGAGTCACCACACCCTCATAACCCTTCCCCTTAGTAACCCCAATAATGTCAATCATCTCATCTTTCTGGAAAACAGCATCAACAGGAACCTGCTTCTCAAACATGCTATAAGCATAGTCAACCTTCTTTGCAATGTCCCCACCATTCACTTGAATCTCCATCAGATGGGCTTTCTTCTGCTTCAATCCCTTCATTTTCCTAATCTGCAAAAGATAAGCCAAAAAAAGAAGATTAGATTAAATTCTAGGTAAAAGTTTAGCAATAGAACATCGGAATGGCAGCAAACAGGGTAACTGTTTTACTTAACACCTTCAGTAATCACATACTTTTTTTCTGTTCAGAAAACAAACCAATATAATTTACCTGGGTGTGGGCTAAAACACGAATCACAGTGCAATATTTCTTCATTTTCTCCAACTGAGCCTGGATGTCTTTTTTCCCATCTTCGCTCTCATACTTTTTTGAGTACTTGCTGAATGCTTTCTTTTTTGACTTGCACCAGTTCTTGTAGAATCGCCTCTTCACCTCCTCACTCAGATGCTGGGCCCAAACTGTGTCCAAGGAACGGAGACCACGAGGTGTCTTCACATAACCAACAACACCAACAACCACCATTGGTGGTGTTTCAATAACTGTAACTGCTTCACATGTTTCTTTCTTGTGTAGCTCTGCAGGGAAATATTAGTTTCAGAACATAATACGGAGTACAGATAATATATAATTAGACCAAGCACAAAGAACAAGCCACAAAGCAATACTACAACACTTAAGTAACCGAAAGAACAGGTTACAACTTCTAAGCCAAGTAAATAACATGGTACTAAAATTCAATGGGAACTGACAAAGAATAATAGAAAATAGATCGCTCATAACTTGAGAACACTGATCAATAAAAACCGCGTAAACCTTAAGTCAAGGAAACATAAAAAATAAAAAAAAATCAGCACAAGCATTGTTCTGGTACATACAAATCATCATAGTATTCTATAGAATTTACAATGCAAATGCAAAAATTTTGCTTATGAAAAATGTCATCAATATAATTCTCCTAATTTTTATCTTATATTTCTATTAAAAAAATTTTATCACAAAGTTTTCCTCAAAGTAATAGTTTCCTAAAAAACTAGGGTAAAACAATAGACCAACTCACTTGACCCGGGTTTTTCAACATCTCTCACAATATGGGTCATTCCAGCTTTGTATCCCAGGAAAGCAGTCAATCTGGGAGTTTTTGTTGGATCATCTTTGGGGAAGGCTTTCACTGTATAAACAAAATCATGTAAGCCAGATTTTCCAACGAGAAAACAACCCTAAAGTTAGATTAAACAGTTTCATAAAGAACAGTAACAGAAAAAAAATACAGTATTAAGATAGAAATACCAACTGTTGCTGCTACAATCTAAGCGGATAAAACATACATATAGCATTCCATTGTGGATATACACTGAGAAACCAACAACTTGTATGTGAAATATTAGATATTAGATATAATATAAAATGAGATGCAACACGGACATTTGTACCAACCAAGCATTCTCATTCCTATATAACTGAACCAATGGGTAAAATACAGGTCCACAAGTTACGTGCAACTTATAAAGCTCCTTCACAATAGTAACACACACATAAGATAAAAAGCCAGTGCATTTTCATTGGAAAAAAAATCAGGAGCAAGTTCGAACAAACGCGAGTCAATATATCATTGGATTGCACCTTTCAAAGAAACACAGACTACTAAATAGCACGTTAAAACTGAAAAAGAAGAATAAACCTTTTCCTCTGTGGCGGGCTGCTCTTTTCCTTGGAAGAAACCCCAAAGAGCCATGTCTTGGGTGCTCAAACTTACGATGAGACATGGTTCCTTCTCAAACTAGTCTACAAAACTCCAAAACCTCAGATTTTCTTACAATTACTCAAATAAATTCAGTCATGCATCTCAAACAATAATAACACGTTCAGGTAAAAAGAATTAAACAAATTATTTTCACACATTGATAAAGAAAAACAATACAGCATCCACATAAAATTAAACTACAAAAATGATTTTACCAAACGCCAAAAACTAATCATTGTGGTATTACCATTAAAAAAACTCCAAAAATTGATCACAAAAGATCTTAAAACTGTAAAAAAAAAAATGTAAATCCTTCAAAATAAAACCATTTGATATAATTAAAAAAAAATGCTGGCAAGAAACCATTGCACTGTTGCAACTTCAAGGTCCAAAAATTGGTTGTAAAATATCTTAAAGCTGTAAAAACAATTTAAAATAAACTGGAATCACCAAAGCGCACGAAAACAATTGAAATCTCAAAGGAGACGCCCGTAAACCGAAAACATGGTAGAATACAACCACATTCTCCAATCGGCGACACAAAATGCTCCCAACAACCAAAGGCCTATGGCACAACAATGGTGCCAATTCTCGGGCTCCTCCGTATTTCTTTCCAAAACCCCAATTAGGGTTTTGGCAAAACCAGAACCCCTTTGAGACTCCAGCCTTGATTACTCACAATGTTCTCATGGGAAGCAATTCGGTTTCGCCAACGGAGGAAGTTAGTAGCATCCAACACGTCCACAGTGATCAGGGCAACAAGTACTAATTAAAATCACAACAAATACAAACGGAAATTCTATGAAAACCCCAAAAATCTAAAAGTCCTAAAATTAAACTTTCATATTATTGATCCAAAATTAAACTTTCGATTCAAATTTCCATGAATTATGGGCATTGGTAGAACTATAAATTAAAGAAGAACACAAAAAACTTCCATGAATTATTTGAAAGGCCTAAAATTTTCAGAGAAATTGAACGATGCTACCTGCGAATCGAGAGGATGAGAGGGAAAATGCAAGAAGCAAGAGGCGCAACCAGCTGGATTGGCTTCGGTGAGACTGACTGAGCAAACCCTAGCTATATTAGTTGTGGGGTCCTACAGTGCTTTTAAAGTGGAACCCACGGCTACGATTAACTTGTCAAAATGATAAAATGATAACATGGATTGTTATCCGTTAGATTTAGGGCACAATGGAGTTGGGGTTAAGTTGGGCCTCGTATAACTATCGGGTTCGGTCCAACAGAAGTTGGACAAAAGGCTTATATTAAACTTGGAGAATTTGTTAGGTCAGAGACCTGGGTCGACTAGCCCATGAACGAGTTCATTTGGAACTATTTTCGGGTAAAACCACGAGGGTAATATGGCTCGTTTGAAAGTGTTTTTAAAATAACTAAAAACGTTTTAATAAAAATGTTTTAAAACAAAGCTTAGTAAAAATCCAAGTAGATCTTGGAAAAGTAATTTAAGTGCTTCTTGCAAGAAGCACATATTTAGTGCTTCTCCCAAAAAAACACTTCCAAACAAGCCCTAATATGTATTTTAGATTATGATATAGTGGTAATTTTCTTTATTTATAAATAAAAGATCTTAAGTTCAAATTTGTAGACAACAAGTTTGATACTAATTTACTCATTCGCCGCTTAGTGTGTAAAAAATAGATGTAGCATGTAAGCCGGTGAAAGCCACCACCAACACACCAAAAAATTATGTAGTATGTTCTGAATCATGAGGAATATTTGCCACTGTGATTTAAAATTCGTCAAGGTACACTATTACATGAAGGGTTTGTTTGCAAGTACTTTGTAAATGACTAAGCGTTTTTAGGAAATGTGTTTTTAGGTTCTAAATCACATTGTAAGTGTTTTTCTAGAATTTACTTTGTATTTTTATTAAAGATCCGTTTCAAAATTTTTTTACCAAAAACTCTTTTTTAGTCATTTTAAAAACATTTTCAAACGAGCTATAAAATACATGATGAACACACCCTTTTTCTTCTTCTACACAGCATAGTGTAACATATATGTTGTTTTGTTTAATATGTTTAATAATGGCCATGAAATAGAGAATGGTGTATAAAAATCAAGGGGTGTGCTATCCACACACCTCATTTTACTTTTCACACACCCCTTGATAATTTCAGTCCGTTGATCTTTTTCAATTCATCCGATCCGACGGTCGAAAATTAAAAAGATGTGTGAGAAACAAAATGGGATGTGTGAATATCACACCCCAAAAATCAACTCCCTCATACTCAAGAATCAAGTCCAGAGATTAATTCCCCTCCCCCCACCCCCAAAATAAAAATAATCCACCATAACGGAGTTCTTTGTCAAACGAATACTAGGGATTTAGATGTTGTTTGGGTTCAGGTTTTAGAATTTTTTGGGAGTTGTGGTGGAAACCCGAGAGTTAAACTTAAACCTTGAGTTATAAGTAATGGGGCCATAAGTAACATGCTTGTTTTGATTCTAGCAAATAATCTTACTTAAATATAATTAGATTTGACTAATTTGAGTGTGAAATAAAACAGAAACAGCAGAATACGAAACCACATATATAATTGGAAGTAACCAATTTGGTTTATGACAAAACTTAAAAACCGATCATTGATCCAATTTAAGTACCTTTATAGGATAAACTTTAGCATAAAATTAAAGAGTAATGGTAGCAAGTGATTGAGTTCAGTAATTCTTCCTGTAAATTAACAAACCTAAGATCTCTCACTTATAAGTGAAGAGGAAAACCATCAAACCATAGTACTAAGTGACAACACACTATTGAAACAACAAAAATAAATTAATGTTGCAATTTAAGAAAAATGACCATATTTTTCAGAGTATCTTTTTAACAATATCGTCAAATAATACATGTATTGTCAGAAATACAATATGGGGAAAAATAGAAACAAGATAGGGATTAGGAGGAGGAAATAAGAGTGTGTATTTCCATTATCATTAGACCATTTTTATACAGGACATCAAATACATGCACGAGTGGTTACCCAAAGGTTCTCTATAATAACTCAAAAGTTTCTCTACATTATTATGAAGTTTATGATAATTTACCAGCATACATTGTATAAGACCAACCACTTTTTGTATCACGATATGTATGTAATTTTTAATTACTATACTCGTTGTGTATTTTACTAACGGATGGCCCTAGATGCATGAAAGAGTCAAAGGCGCAATAATAAGGGAGATGAATACATTCTTTCAACGTCGAGCTGAGTAGGGATTTGATAAGATACTGATATTATACGACGATGTCCCATTAGAGATGAGTGGCAATGATATCTTTTAGACGACAAAGATGACAAACTCCTTTCAACATGACTTGGAATTCCACCATCGCCAAAGCTATGATGTCATATAATTGTAAAGCACACGATCCACCTAATTAAGCCCAGACCTTCGATGACATATTCCTATTATAATATATTATTATTTCTTGAAAGATTAGGGTTTAGGCAGAGTCATAGTCTCATATAGATCAGACTGCACCATATATATATGTTCTTATATTCTTCTAAGTCAAATCTTAATTATGTCACTAGCTAGATTCTCTTTGGTACGTATCCTTAATTAATTATAATGATAAGAGAAATGATTAACAATTGATATGACACGAATAGCACTTGTTGGAGCCACAACAATGATAGAATTATCAATTTAAACCTCATATAATTAAATAGCCATCAAAATATACGGTAAACTTCATGGCTCGTGCTATATATAGCCAATGCTTAATTGATTAATAAAACCTTGACCCGTCGTAAGATAAGATATATTATTTTGGCAATTGGCATTATGCTGCTAATCCATAAGTGATCAACGTCACTAATAACACTATAATGTTACCTAGTCATTTATCAAGAACTATAACATGTATTCATTTGCTCACTTCTTGTTGGATAATTTTGATCATGATGAACAGTTTCGGAAATGCATGTTTTCAGTTCAAATCTAAAAAGTTTTAGAAACGCATATCATTTCTAGTTTCGGAATTGGAACTTTGGTTTTGGATTTGAATTGAATGGAATACTTCGGATCAGAATTGGTCGAAATTGGATATTCCTATTCAAGTTGCACCCTTGGTCACAAACATTAACCAATGACACAACTCTAAATTTGTTTAGCAAAAACAGACAGCTTTGGGGATTAAAAGCATCATAGATGATGTGTTAGAAAAAATCCACACATGTCATTAAGTATATATGGTCACACCACCTTCAATGTTCGTGACCTAACCAATACCTTCCACACGTTATGTATTTATTTGAAATATTTTTAAAGATTGAGGCCATTTTAAAATCAAGCTAAATGTTGGGTAATTTACAAAAAATAATAAATTTCACATATTAATAGAATCTTGCTTGTATAAAATAAAACAAAATTTGCCACTTAGTATTACTGTCTAGTGATATTCTTCTTTATTTGTAAATGAGAGGTGTTCGATTCTCATCAAATGCGAATTTAAACCATATTATTGCTAGCTTATATGTGCTAAGACTAGTGCAGATAATGTTGTTTGTAAAAAAAAAATGAAACAAAACTTAACCCTAGTGCGCTATATAGCCTCGCGTTGGATATATTTTGTTGTCATTGCGGCTCTCATGCCCTCCCGCCCTCTCTATCATACCGCATCATCCTCCATTGTTGTTGCACCTTGAAAGGAAGAAACGACATTGGGCTAGCTAGTGGAGGACGCCAGTGATGATTGGAGTTCCAACTCACTACTACAAAAAACACTTTGCGCGACAAAATAAGATTTGTTGTGTAAAGTAAGATTTCGTCGCTCAAAACCTTGCGCGACGAAATTTTTGTTGCACAAAGCTCGTGAAGATAGAGTTTGCGCGACAAAAATTAATCTTCGTCGTGCAAAATTTTTGATTTTTGATTTTTTTATTTAATTTAATTAATTTAATATTTTGCGCAATGAAAGTTTTTGGTTTTTATTTTTTATTTAATTAAATTGACTTTTTGTTTTATTATTTCTATTATTTAATTTCTATTAATTAATGAAACTCTCTTTGTCAACCAAAAGAGGGTGAAAAGACTACTTAGTCTTCTATCATACAAAAAAAATGATGGGGAATAATATAATTTCACAGGTCCAAATTTTACTATTTTTTATTGAAGCATCACATACAGGTGATGTTAAAATACCTTCAATATTAAAAAAATAAAATTTAAAAAAAAAACCTCCCACCCCCCTCCCCCACGTTCTCTCTCTCCCCCCCCCTCTCCTTCTCATTTTCTAAATATATGTGTTCATACACACAAAGTGTGTAGGCAAATCCTAGTTTAATTTTAGTAATTGTTTACGCGATGAAATATTTGGTAGCGCAATATTATTTGAATTTTTAAAATTTTAATTTAATTGTATGGCTTTATTTTTTAATTACTTTAATTTAAATTGACATATTCAAAATAAAATTACATATGAAAAATAGTGATCAAATTATCCATAATATACATTTTATTAAAAATGTACATATAAATTAACAAATTACAATAATAAAATCCTAATACAAATCTATTGTGGTGATGGTGGCAGGGGATATGGTCCGATAGCATCATAATCCTCAACTCCTCAACTTTCACCGTCAAAGTCCCGACGATTCCTTACAAAAAAAAAAATAAAAAACCAAAAAAACCAAAAAATGGGCATAACCTCCCCTAAAATCGGCATACCCCAAATCCAACCCCAAACTCCACCCCTCACCCTATACCCAACCCCAAACCCCAACCAAACACAAAATTAACTCCAAAAACACATATTAATGAAAAATAAATTAAAAGTTAGTAAGAAAATACATTTTGGCAAGATTGAGATTGAGTGAGAGATAGGGAGAGAGGAGAGAGTGTGAGAGAGTGAGAAGAGATAGTGAGAGAGTGAGTGAGAGTGAGAGATAAAGAGAGAGAAAGAGGAGAGTTTGAGTGTGAAAGAAGGGGTTGGATTTGGGGAGAGGGAAAGAGAGGAGAGGTAAGAGAACTAGCTAGAGAGATACATTGAGAAAATAGAAACAAGATAGGGATTAGGAGGAGGAAAGAAGAGTGTGTATTTCCATT